CATATGAAGATAGAATGGAATATATTTATGTTTATAATTTACAATATAAATACATACAAAGTATATGATTCGAGTTCTTCTATACAGTCATTTGGCGTTTCTTGTTATTTATCTTTAAACATAAGTATTTTTCAATGAGATAACTGTATCCAGATTGTGCGCTAGGAGTGTTGACCCCTTTAGCTTTTCAATGTTAGCAACAAGACATACGTGCCACATTTGTTAACAAGTACTAATCTGGCATTTTTTCCAGACTACCAAAGATATTTACTGAAAAGCATCATGTTAGGAATTAGCGAAGCGGGACTAAAAGTTTTATACCTGCTGGGTAATCTCTCAGCAATAGAAGAATTATGAAGAAGGTGGTATGTATCGTGTCTATGCGTGTCTTATCATTAGTTATTAGAGTAAAAAAGATAACTTTCATTCTGCCAACCTCAACTATAGTCAGATAAGACTCATTGACTTTGATTATTGAGTAAGATCATGCGAGTAGTTGAGCTAATAAACAGTGATAGAAGATTGAATTATGTATTTAGAGATAGTTAGAAAATTCTCCTAAAATCTTATGTGTTAGTTCGTGTATCTGTCTGAAGAGAGGACGGGGGAGTTATGTCAATGACATGGAAAGAGTTCTGAGAGGAGAGCGAGGGGATAGAGCTCATAGATAAAGAACTCTCGAGCACTGTAGATAATGCGGTGCAGGGAGGCAAAAGCAAGTTAGTTTTAAAACTAAAGTTGGGCCTTTTAAAATATGAAGGAAAAAACTTACTTGAATGAGAAAGTAATTTATATTTTAAAGACTACTAAAGGCAAATGAAACATACCTCATTTAAGAAGGTCAAAAAAAATTCTATCTCTTAAAAGGCTAAGAATATCAGAGAGTTCCTTTCACTTGTTTTGTTAAGGATTTTGATTAAGTTAGAGATACAAGTTCATTCTTATTCAGCTTTATAATTATCTCCAGACAGGAATATTGAGAAAATTGGCAACACTTTCTAACACTTGAGAGTGTACTTTTCACATATTTAGTCAGCTGTTTGCTGATAATATATAAAATAAATAATATATTATTTATAAATTAAATATAAATAAATACCAAAGGTATATGATTCTGATTCTTTATACATATTTTGGGCTTTCTTGTTATTTTTTATTCTTTTTTAACATAAGCTATTTTTCAATGAGATAACTGTATTCCAATTTCCTAGAGTTTAACTTTAGCTTTTCAATGTTTTAGCAACAAAACATACTGCCACATTTTGTTAACAAGCCCTATAATCTCATTTTTTTCCAGACTACTCAAAGATATTTACTAAAAGCATATGTTAGTGTAATAAAACGGGACTAAAGTTTTATTACCTGCTGGTAATCTCTCACAATAGAAAATTATGAAAATGTATTTATGGTATTATGCTGTCTCTATTATTATTAGAGTTAAAAAAATACACTTTCATTTTCTGCCATAACTATAGTCAGATAAGACTCATTTGACTTTATTATTGAGTAAATCATCGAGTAGTTGAGGCTAATAAACAGTGATAGAAGATTGAATTATTATTTAGAATAGTTAGAAAATTCTCTAAAATCTTATGTGTTACTTCTATCTGTCTGAAGGAGAGGAAGTTTATGTCAACAACATGGAAAGAGTTCTAGGAAACATGGGGATAGAGCTCATAGATAAAGAACTCTCAGCACTGGTAAATAATCTGCCAGTTGATGGTGAGTATTTTAAATAAAAACGTTATCTTCAGAAAAGCTTATTATTAAATTGTGAACACTCCAAAATTGTCTGCATTTGGTTGCTTGCCAAAAATAATCTATGACCCATGTTACATAATTTTAAATGATCCTATTATATCTTAAAAGATTAATTGTGCTATTTAACTTTCAGTTTGAGAATCTACAATTGTGTCAACATGATTTCTATCATCAGAGTTCAGTTATGTCTTTTTTTACTTTTGATTGTACTGAAATACAAAATTCAAGTCAGAATAAATGAGAAAAAGAAACATGTCTATTTCCTTTCTCTATAAAAAGAAAAAAAGAAAAAAAAAAAGAAAAAGAAACAGAAGGTAGT